TTCATAACTGTAAATCAGATGAGTATTTCTGAGCCTCCTGATTAGAATTCCTGCTCAATGTTGGCTTGGCTTCATAAACTAGGATTGTTTTGGGAAGGAAGAAATACTCATTAATCACCAAGAACTGCAATAAAAAAGATCAACTTCAGAAAAACCATAAGTGGACAGTCTTCTTGAGGTCTGAAATGAGGGTTGTGAACAGTGCCTATGCAGTGTCTGTACTCCCAAAGTTGTCTATCCCTGTTTAGCTGAGCTCGTCGCTGGCATGTGGTCTGAAGTACTCTGCTCACAGGGCAGGACCGTGCAGTGGCCGTGCAGGAGCTGCTCTGCCGCACTGAGAGCGTGCTCCAGCCACAAGCTGTCGGACCAGCCTGCGAAGGAAGGACAGGCTGGTTCCATGTTCACTCAGCCATTACCACTATCAACACAGGCTGGTTTGAAACTGGTCACCCACGAGGAAGAGTTTTCTAATTCATGGCTAATCCTTGAAACCACACAGTATATGTCTTTCTCTCATCTGTTGGGTTTAATTGTAGCCTTAGATAATGTTTAGCAGGTGCTTTTGTTTGTGTCTTTCAGCCAAAAATGAACAATATCTTATTCCACTGACTTGACTTTCTCAGTCCTTAATCCATTTGTTCTGATATGACTCCAGTGCTTTTTTTAGCATTAAGGATAAAATTAAATTTGTGGCATTTTTTTCTGTGTTGCTTTCCTTTTTTTTTTTTTTTTGAGAATATTACAGTTTTTGAGAGTATTACCAAGGGGAGAGATGTTACCTCTTGTCTTGCACTAACCCATGAAACGTATAGGGTTGTGCAGTAGTACCAGGGTTTATGTAAACGGTAGAGAGCAGTCACTGAGGAGAGAATTGATGGCACGCACTTCAGAGGTGTCTGTGTTGGAGGTTGTGTGGCAAGTTTTTTCTGTGAGAGCTTAAAGATGCAGACATACATGAGCAGACATGACGGGCTGTCCAGCATAGAGTGACGTGATCATACATGTCAACAGACCTGTCAGTTCATCCGGTGAAAAGTAGTGGCGTAGCTGAAGGTGAGACAGGCGGGATGTATTGGTGTGGGTGATATTAAAGCAATCCCCTTGGCTGTCCTCTTTGTCTTACGCATACATGCAGCTTGTGCCTATTCTGGAGGTCTGTCTTCCTCTTTAAAAACCTTTGTAATTGGGAAGCTTAGAAGATGGGTGTTCTTGTTTGCAAATGGTCACAATGAACATTTATCCTCAGTTTATTTCTGAGTCGTGCTTGTATCTAAGCTGTGGGAATGAATTGAATGTGCCATCCATGCTTGTCTGTTCTCAGAGCTCATTTCCACAATATATTACCCTCATGGAATCTCTGTTTCTTCCTACTTTTCTGGTGCTGGCCTCTTCAGTTTTTCTCCATACACAGCCTTGTTAATATTAGAACAGGAGATTTTTTTTTTTCCTTTGTAACATCCGTGCCAATCTTCCTGTGGTTTTCTACCTTGTCAATTCTCCATCTTTTTTGTCTAATCTTGCCCATAGTGTCCTACGTCCCTGGAATACGCCTCTTGGTGCTTGTGTCTCTGCAGTTTTAATATTGCACGTACATTCCTCAGGCAAGTTGAAACTATTTTGGGATGCAGTGTGACTGAAAAAAGCTCTACAGCTGAGTGGCCAAAATCTATCTTACGAGCAGGTGACTCCTCTGACAGGGCTGCACCCTGTAGCTGGCAGAGGGGCTGTGGGCTGGATCCTGCATGTGGGAGCACATGAACTGCTGGAGATCTGGGGATTCCCTGGGACTTAGCTGTGTGCCTAGCTCAACACTGTTCAACAGTGAAGGGATGGTACCCATGAGCATCATCTTTATCCATCTCTGAGCTATGCCTGGAAATCATCCTGCATCCTGCTTTGGCTAGGGGTGGGAACTTTACTTCCAAGGACTTTACAGGTAATGACTTTCTGTTTGTTGCTTGGTCTCTGGTTTATTTTTATTTTCCCAATCCTGATGGATTTTAGTGCTTCGTTATTACAGGATTTTGTTGTTGAGAACGGTGTCATAAAAAGCAGTATTTTCAGTGTTGTTATTAGAAATATGTGCATCTTGTTATTAGAAATATGCACACTTGAAGGACCTAGTGTTTAGTTAGCTCAGAAGTTAGGAGTTGAAGGTACTCATTGTAAGATGAGTTTAGACCTGGCTTATAAATGTAAGTAGGGAATTAAATACATTATCCGCAGAACCAGAGGTTGTCTCAGATACTTTATGGAAGACTTTCAGTTTGCACCTCTACCAGCTCTTCAACAATACAGGATTGAAAATATATTCATGTTTGTTAATCTTTCTGTTGAGGGTTTGTCATGTCTGGGACACCATTTGTTGGAGCATTGGCTCAAGCTGGTGATAGATCTTTTCACGTTTCTCCCAAAAATATTGAGACTGCTACTGAGGAAGTCTAGCAGTTATTAACACAAAGACTCTTGGCATCTAGTGGGGGCAGAGTCGAGAGGTCAGGGAAGGTGTGATGAGACTGAAACCCAAAGAGCAAGAAACGATGAAACCAACTGCACTCCAGTGTGAAATTTTCACTGAGGAAATAAAATTTGTAGGAGGAGGCTACTGTGTGGTTGTAGTAAAAGCATACACTTGAACAACTGCATTGATGGGATTTCATTTTATTCCTTATAAAATGAAGGATATCTCCTTTCTACTTTTCCTATAGGACTAGAAAGCCAGGTTTTAGCTCAGTTATTCCTTTTACTTAAGTTGTAAATATTTGATAACAAATTGTATTTAGAATGATGTTGATCATTCCATTAAAATAATCTGTTGCATCTGCCAGTTCCAGTATGTTTATACATTGACTGATCTGTGCTGAGAGAACTGCAGTGGGAAGTAGTGATGAGGACTCTTCAGTGTTCTGCTGATAATTGGCTGTTTCTGACCTGTCTCCTGCCACCACTCAGTTGTGTGGCCATGGACAAGTCATTTAACTTTTTTGAGCTTCAGATTGTTCATTTCTAAAACTGACAATTAAGCTGAATTGTCATGCAAATTGACTCTGTGTTTCAGCACCTATCCAATAAGCTGGCTTTGGGGACACAGCAACAGATTTGCTTCAGCACATGGTTTCCATTCTTTCCCCCAACCACATAAATCTTTGGTTACCTAATGGAAGCAGTAGCCCAACTTCCTTGACTCTGGGTCTTTTTTCCTTCCCAAAGACTAGGATCAGGAAGATCATTTATTTTTCCAGTAGTTTGCTCTTAGTACAGACCAATGTATTTCATGTGAGGTGGTAAACTACTTCAACGGTGAAGAGTTTTCATAGTGTTGATGTATGTAGTTGCCATACTACCCTTACATGGAAAAAAAATTCCTCTCTAGTTGGTTGTTCTTGATTTGGAAGTAATAAACAGACTGGATCATTGTGAGCGACTCTGTAACTGAAATTATACTAACTGGAGCAGGAAAGATGCAGTAATACAGAGAGCTATGAGCCACCTGCTTTTTTATACGCGTCACATCTATCATGTGGAATCAGACCTGTAAATTGACTGAGCACTGAAACAGGTTGCCCAGAGGGGTTGTAGAGTCTCCATCCTAGGAGATACTGAAAAGCCATCTGGACATAGTTCTGGGCAGCTGGCTCTAGGCAGCCCTGCTCGAGCAGGGGAGTTGGACCTCCAGAGGTACCTTCCGTGAACCAACCATTCAGTGTTTCTGAATTTCAGAAAAATGTATCCGAGTGATGGGCTTGTGTTTCCAGGGAGAAAATTCTAGTGTTTTTTTCTTCTCCTAGTGCTCATTTCTTCTCCTTCCTCTCTTCTACCAATATGCCCTTAAATGAAAGCCCCACATCTGCCATCTGCTGTGGCTCAAGGACTTCTCAGATAAAGCTTTGCAGGCCTTTACAGTCTAAAGATTGTTGTGGAGGAGAGCTTTTGTGGCTACTAGCTGGAGAACCTGTTAGGCTGAATGGCATTTTCCTGCTCCCTCACTGATCTTGAAGTGAAGGAAAGCTGCCACAGCTTTAACAGAAAGTACTGCGCAGTTAGGAAAAAATTGACTGCCCCCTCTGTTGCTTTGCTGTCTGCTGGTTTATAAATTGTAATGCTTTTCATTAAAAAGAAGAAAAAAAAAAAAAAGCGTCAGGTCTCTGTGGGTCCCAGATCGTTAGCAGGATCAATTCCTTTTTCACTGAAGAGATCAGAGGCTACAGTCTTGCATAGCCAGTCCTTCAGCTACTGACGTACCAAGCAAACAATGCAGAAGCAGAAGAGCTGGTATGTGGCTGCCTGAATTGCTATGCCTGGATTTTTGTCGTGATAGAAAATTCTTCACCCTCTTTGGAGCCTGTGAAATGAATTCAGTCCCTTGCAGGATTGGGTCAGAAAAGTCTCATCAGCTCCAGTACTAGAAATGTTAAATCCCTTAACTTGGGGCTTGCAGTGAAAAAGATTTTTCGTTTGCTTCAGGAAGTTGATAATAGGATATGAAACTTTCACCTCTGAAGGAGGGCTGGTAATAATTTGAAATTGTTGACATCTGAAGATGTATGCTTTGGTGCTGGTGTGGAAGAAGTTTGATGTGACTCAGTCCAGTTCCACAGCCCTAGCCCACCACCACTGCTAACATGATTCGCAACCCTACTGGAGGTGCCAGTAGATACATCTCAGAGCCAAGTGTATTGAACAGACTGAATTTACTTCTTAGTCATGGATGTGGTTGAGTCACAAGCTTGCGTGTTCTCAGTAAACACTGTAACTGTTCTGTGAATAAATAGAAGAACCCAATTTACAGAGGGTTGTAAGACTGTACATCATAAGATGCCGTTCTTCTGCTATGACTAATCTTAAAGTGTGGCTACAAGCATACCATTTAACCTTTCGCTGCTTTAACCTCTCATCCCCTGCAGAATGGGGTTCATGGGGGTTGTTAAAATTTGATTGCAAATTGCTCTGTAATACTACATAGCATGAGGCATTCTCAGTTCTTTGCTTTTCCTCTCTAGGGTGGATACACGCGGTTTATACTCCAGTAGATTCTCTGGTGTTCGGTGGAAATATCCTGCATAGCTTTAATGTTCCCATGCAGCTTCGCATCTATGAAATTGAGGACAGAACAAGGGTAAGGATACTTGATTCTTTTTTAACTGAACAGTTCTTTGTGACTATGATCTGTCATAGTCTCTCTCTCATATTTCCTTCTGACAAACAAGAACTGACGGGATCTCCGTGTCAAGAGTCGTTGAAACAAGAGGTAAATGTGAAGTAATGAGACTTTCAAATGTTGGCTATTTTTAGTGGGATTTACTCATCTGTTTTTTCCCTACTTCCCACAGACATGTCCCTTCTGTGTCTTTTGTCTGCCTGTTAAACTTTCATAAACACCTTCCCTTTTGCACAAAAACATACTGCGCTTTACAGACCTTTGTACCAGTACTTCTGGTAACCCCCTGCTTATCATCTCTCTGTGCACACCTGGAATGGATACCCGAGCCTGGAGAACTAATGGGACTAGGATGGTTCTACTGTCCACAGCTGAATTGACAAAGCTGCACAGAAGTTGCGTATGAAATGAAGTCTTCTATACTTTGCAGTATTTTCTTCTACAATGACTTGATACTATGCAAGAATGTCTTAGAACACAGAGAGTCTGGGTGGGACATGAATCTGAACATTGTGATGTTCATCTGCCTGTAGCATCTACCTGATGGAAAGAGTATTACGTCTTGGAGGAGGTTACTGTGCGGCCTCTTTGTTGGGAGTGAAAATTTTATCCTAAATTAATAAATGGAACACCTAGTCGTCATACACTTTGCAGTTTCATAAAGTAGCAGAATCTGAAGGAAGTGCCACTGTTTTAGTAGGCTATTAAATAAGCTATGCAAGGCAACCGTAGCATTCTGATGCAAAAATGGACCAGTGGTATGCGCAAATTCAGATGGGGACTTTTTGTGGCTGACTTTTGGAGGCATTGCGTTGAGACAGTGCTGGTAAACCACTGGCACAGGTGCCAGCTGTGGTGTTAATGGAGACTTGGGCTGGCAAAATGGCAGGAAATTGCAATTCTTCTTAATTATTAAAAAGTCTTAAAATGGTACATCTTGGACATCAGTACAGTTCACTGTTGTTCACCTCTACAAGAGGGCACAATTCTGGCTCCAAGTGGGCTTTTACCCCAAATCACTCTTTGCAGTGAAAGTGCATAGGCCTGAAGCAAATACTTACTGTTTTGAAATGTATCTTTGACTCAGCGAGAGGAAGGGTGTCCTCCCCCCAGTGCCTCTCTGCCAGTGCTGTGTTAGGAAGGGACTGCTCTGTTCCTTTGCAGGAGGTGCAGGGCCTGGTAATCTTCACATTGCAAGACAGTGGTGGGAGCAGTTGGTTTCCTGGAGTGATTTTAATGAAGAGAAGGAATATTAAGCAGAAAAATGAATTCTTAGTGGAAGAGAGATGAAGACAAAAGCTGAAATTCAGAGGAATTAGAACAGAGGGAATGTAGCAGAGAGCAGAAGTGGAGGTAGAGAACCAGAGTGGAGTTCAGCCTGGCTTTGAATAGGTGTCCCAAGGCAAGAATGTCAAGTGTCTTAAGAAAGAGTAAAGGGACTTGGACAGGAAAAAGTTATGATGGCAGAAGCAGGAAGGGGCTTACTGTGGCTAGACAGAGGTGCTAGGCACAGGAAGGTTTTCAGAGTGATTGTAAATAAGAACTAGCAATATATGCTGGATATATGTGCTGCAGGTGCTCAAGGGGAGGGTGTGTTGTTGCTAGGAAGGATGCTGGCACAGGTAATTTCCATGGAGAATGGAGAAGTGAGGACCGGGGGGCAGGATCGATGCCAGAAACAAGTTATTTCCATTGATGTCTATGGGGAAGATGGGAAGGAAACACTCTTTTTTCATGGAGTAGTAGAAGAGCTGACATTTTGTTCCTACAGGACTTGAGCAAACCAAGATCACACACCTTGTGTTGTAACTGCTCAGTAGTGCTTCATGTCAGGTCCTTCTCCTTGGGAAGCTGGGTGCAGCTTTGATCTCCTAAGCTTTTCTACCAGGAGGCAGATTTCCCCATAATAGTCAAGTATTTTGGTAACTTTTAGGAACTTACCATCCAGTTACACTGAAATGCCTTTGAAAAGCCACTAGCACCTTGATCCTATGGGAAGATTCTGCGAGTGGGGTATCTGCCTCTTTGAAAATGTCCTGTCAGTTTTTTGGAAAGGGATACTGCAACATTTGGAAGTCCCAAATCAGACCTTTATTCTTGTCAGTTTTGGTTTAGATTTTCTTAGAAGTCTGTGTAGTTCTTTATCATTTTCCCTCCAAAAATACTTAAGTGCTTTAAAAAAGACTAATGAAAGCCAACAGCCCAGAATTTCCACGACTTCATAGAAACAATTTCGGCGCTTGTATGTTGCTGTGTGCTAGCAATGTGTTATGCACAACCTGTACCTGTCTTCACAAACTTGTGCTTGTAGGCAGCTGTAAATAACAAAGCTGTGTGAACAGTCGAAGAATAGCAAGAATTTCTTGACAGAAGTAAAATGTAAGCCGTGCAACTAAAGCATACAGAAGTTTGATAAAAGGCAGGAAAATCAATACTGTTATTTAGAAATAATAACACCCCACACCCTCCCCAAACCTAAAAATATCACGCAGGAATCTTGAAGGGGTAAATGTTTTCAAAAATAGGATTCTAGTGTGTACTACTTTATTTGCTTTGCCAATCAAATTTTGTAATTTCTTTGTTCAAATAATTCTATTCATACACTTGCTAGTATAGCAGACTCAGTACAGTATGTAGTTCACACAAATTTGCCAGTGTGAACATACTGCAAATGAGTTTCTCATCAGTATTGATCTTTCCATTGTGTGTAGCACGGAAGTAAATTACATGATGTGATGGACGAAGTAATTTGCCACACTCGAATCAAAGTGTAATACAGGTGTGTTCCCCTCTTCATTTTGCACAGAGCAATTTTATGGAGGTTTCACTGTGTTTAAACCTGCTATATAATGCTTAATCATCTTTGATTGCTGATATTCAAAGTCATTTTTATGCTAGGTGTAGTTGTTATTGTCTTAGCAGCTAAGACAAGAATAAATACATGGTTGAAAAGGTAATGCTGATTTACAGCCTGATAAAATTGCGTAGTTTATATACTTGTCATGCTTATTCTACCTTAATTTGTCATATCCCTGGGAGACTTTTTAAGAGGGTTATAGCCATTTAAAAATAGTTTTAAGGAGTAATAAAAAACATGTCTATTGTTGGAAACAGCTCCTAATGTGCAATTGAGGTAAACAAATATTCTCCAGCCTTACAGTTTGTAGACACTCTCATTTTGCAGTCTGGCTTTCCTAGAGGCCAATTAACAGCTAGTCAAATAGGCCAAGCTGTTTAGCTCTCTGCTAGACCAGCTTGAATAACTGCAAAGCAGGCTGCCATGCAGAGATTCATCATCTTGGCATAGGGGTGTTACAGCTCTGTATTACTGAAGAGGAAGAATGTGTCAAACTTACTCCCAACTCATCTAAATTTAACTGTGTTAAAATATTTGAACATGGATAGGGACAAAGCACTCAAAATATATACGTAAGGTGGTCACTCACAGATGATGGTGTTTGCTACTGATTTGTTTTCTGGAATGTAAGATAACGTTTTAAGTGGATAGATTAATTATTTTGTAAATAATCATAAATTGTTTTTCAATATTGTGAGTAGAGTGATTAAACACAAGTGGAGTTTGTAATGATTTTAATGGACGCTGTAGAAGAGACTAATACTTTCTTAAGGAAAATGTGTGCCTCACTTGCTTAGGGTTTTTTTTGTTTTGTTTTTGGAGGGGGATATGAGTCTCTAAAATAATTTCACTTTGAACCGAAGAAATGGATCATGTTCCAGAGAGGATTTTTCTTGCTGTACAGGAATAATTAAAAAATCTATTCAGTGGATTGTAAATTAAGTTAGAGCTGGAAATGCCTGTTAGATGATCCAGTGTATTTCCCTGCTGGTGGGGGATTTAGTCCTCTGGCAGTGTCTGTATTGGGTATTACACTTTAAATTGATCACAGGACATTTTTAATTTCTTTCTTCCTTTCTTTTATCTGCCCCCCCCCAAGAGTTCATTTGACCATAAGCATGCAATGGAAGAAGTATGGATGTGTACATAATGCAGTTCACATCCATTATAATTAATAAATGCCCAAGGATATCATAAAGATCGTACCTCTCTGTATTTCTCCATAAGGCAAACTTTAAAAGACTTTTAAAGCACTGTTAGACTTGCTTTACTGGCAAAAGGCACTGTAGATCTTAGCACAGTATCTCTTGCTACATATGGTAGCTCTTACTTCTGAAGGTTTGTAAAAGAAGAGCCTTCTCGGGCAAATAGTGAATTACAGAGGCATGGAGGGATTTGCTGTGGGTTGGAACATCGATAGTGAGGCAATTAGGAACTCAAATTGAATATTAAAGATTGATATACATAATGGGAGCACTGCATGCATTACTGCCTTGTCTTTCACATTGAATTAATATTGGTAACAACTAAATTTGGTGAAGCTCAGAATCTGTCAACAAATGTTGAGCAATGATGTCTTTAATATTCCCAGGCATGTGGCTGAAAACCTTTTGAAGGCTGAGGGGTGGAAGGCGGCTTCCTGTTTGTAAGTCAATTCTTTGCAAATTTTGTTTCCTGCAGTGCTCTCTTGGAAAAATTTGAGTTCCTTTATTAGCATATATTTTAGCATGGCTAATTTCCCCTGTGTTCCGTAATAGTGATAAGTGACTCGATCTCTTCTTTATGACAAATAACTAAACCAAAGGAAAATTATTCTCCAATGCAAAAAGGCCCTGGGGTTAAATGTTCTCACATTTAGGGGGATGTTGGTTGGTTGGTTTTTGGGCCCCCCCCTTTTTTTTCTCTTCTTTTTTTGGTATATGTGCTTTGTAACAAACAACACAGGGAAACATTTGAAAAGGTGCAGCATCACTGGATGCATGACCCATGGCAACGTGCAGTTCAGATTTGCCAGCTACATTTGTGTTGAATTTAAGAGATCTTAACTTTTGGGAATTGCCATGGAGTATTTAAATCCTACACTGTGATACATTTAGTGGGACGATACAGTATATTTTCCCTTCGTTACATTTTGTTTTACTGCTAAAAGTGTAGCATTTCCTGTGCCCTGGGAACAGAGGCAAGTTCTTTGACTGTCCAACTTGGGGACAGTTTTCAAATATGGTCACTCTAGTAAGTCATTGTTGTGCTCAGTACTTGTATCAACACGCAGGTGTTTCGACAGTGCCTGCTTTGCAGAGCTGAATCTGAGTTTCCAGGTGCTGGATTAGTGGTTCTGTTTAGGCTTCACTGGGGGAGATCTGGGGTGGGGTGGTGTTTTGGTTTTGTTTTTTAAAAAGGGCTTTCTAAGATAATGCTCCTTTCTAGTGCAGTCCAGCTTTTCATTAAAGGTGGGTGGACACCTCTTGGCTAGGTGAGCAGTTAATATGCATAGAATACGTTAAAGCAGTTCCTATAATCCCAGTGCAGTGCATGCATGCAAGCCTGCAAAATGCAAATTTCTGTGCCACCAGGAGAAAGAAGTGTGCAGTGTAAGTACAAGTGCATGCAAGATACATGGCATCCATTTTTAACAAATCACAATAAACATACATATTTTTCTTGCATTTTAGGAGCTTCCCAGATTATTCTTTGGTATAGTGACTTCCCATAGATAGAAAACTATGTTGGAAAGGAAGGAAACCCACTTTGTTTTCTTTTGAATCTCAAATAATCTCACAAATACATGGTGTTGGAGAATAAGCTTTTTGTGTGAGAACAACAGGTCTGAGATGTAAGAAAAAGTGCACAGCTTGACAGGATCTTTTGTCAAAATCCTGCTTTGCTATTCTGTTTGTAGCAAAAGCTAACTTGCTACCAAAATATTAAGTGTAAACCACATAAGGGATTTTTACTTTTAATGTGTAGTTATCAATAATCAAGAATTTGTGTGATCATTTGTTTAATCAAATTGTTGTGAAGACCATAATTGAAAAAGATGTATTTCCTGTTTGACTCATTTTGGGTAATGCTGCCATTTTGATGAAAAACATGTGATAGTGTTTAGGAAATAAAAAAAAAACCACCTTTATTTTAACTTGAATTTTACTGACTAACATCTGTATGTGACCACCCTATGTTTATACAGTAGGTAAATAATACCGTAGGGGCCATCCATCAGTTTCATGATTTCACAAGAACACAAACCCTTTCCTCTCCCACCACCCCAAGAGGATACAAATTAGTGAACCAAGAAATGATGCTATCATGGCAGGCAGGCAGGCAGTCTCCTCATTTAGTATGCTGAAGGCATACATCTCACTTGGCTCCCACCCTCTCTCCCCTCCCCCTCCTGCATACTGTTTGTGCTCTTGATAACACGATGAGAATGATGACTGGCCCTTGTGCTGCAAACTTCTCTCCCTTCCCCATGGACTGACAGTCTCGATCTTGCTTTCAGGTGCATGCCAAATTCCGTTATCCTTTCTACTATGAAATGTGCTGGTATGTTCTGGAGAGATACGTGTCCTGTGTGACCCAGCGCTGCCACCTCAGCAAAGAGTACCAGAAAGAATCAATGTTAATTGGTGAGTGAATCCTTTGAGTGCATATTCAGAACTGATGCTACCACCTTAGGCTAGTTACTGCTTTGGTTTCTGCAAAGCAGATTATAAATTGAATTGGAGAACTGTAGAAATTCTAATGAACTATTTCTTTATTTTGGGGTGGGGTAGGTTTTGACTCTTAAGCATTTCCATGAAGTACCAACCTACTTCAAATTATATGTATTGAGCATTCCCTTAGCAAGTGAATCCCAGAAAAATAATTTTTGGATGCGTTTGTTCCTTGGTTTCAGTAATGTTTGTGTTGAGATGATCTGCCAAACAGTTGAGGATTTACTGCCCTGTTTGGCACAGTACCTTAGTAGCCAGAAATGTGTGCATTGCAAGTGTGCTCTGGTAGGATGGATATCTAGTCCTTTTATAGAGCGTCTCCTCTACAGAATGTGTTATGGTCACTAAACCTGGTTTCTTTCTCTTCTCTTTAATGTCTACTTTAGTTCTCTCTAGTTGGTGACTGACTTCTAGTTCTGCAGAATAACAAAACCAAGAAAACACCTACACAAATCTACATGATCTATAACCTAAGTGCAGGAAGGTCAAAGAAACCTTTACAACAATAGCTGAAAATGGACCATAGCAGAGACGAATAGATGTGCCTGAAGCAGGAAGGCATTACATTGGCACTGTGAGCTTTACAACAATGTGTGACAATTCCAGTTGTTGCCTTGCTGAACTGCCCTCTTTTTCTCCCTTTAATGGGACAAGATGGAGGGCCGCATTGCCTCCCACTTTTCAGCACAGAATGGCTGAAAGTAGCACAAGCACCAGCAAAATCTTAACTGATACATGTGAAGTGTGGAGAAGTAAAGTATTTCTGTGCCTTCTGCTCCCTGAGATGCCACTTGGAGTGAACCTGGCATGGTTGGAACTGCCCTAGGTTCTGGACAGAGGAGAGAAATGATCACCTACTAGCATAATTCTTAGTAGAAAGGATTTAAGAATTTACAGGCAGGCACCACTCTCCAGTGAGTTTTACTGACTCAAGAATAATTTGAGGGAGCTAATAGTCTGTGTAGCTAGACAAGGGAATTGTCTTGGAATCCCTAGGAATTTGGGTGCTTCACATCTTGTGTCTCTTCTTTGCTCTGGGAGACCCTGATTAGAAGGGTTAGTTAAGCAGGAACTGTGTGGAGGAATTCTTCTCTTCATATAAGATCGTCCTAGAGGAAAGGATGAATTAGCCCCTTGGATCAGCTCTTCAAAAAGCAGTGACAAAACTCTGACAACTGCATTCCCTGGAAAATAAGGAACAACCTCCTGTTGTCTAAACCACTAGCATGGTTTAGAGGCTCATCCTGCAGGCAGGGTGGGGCTGCCAGATTGCTGAGGTGTAATTTCAGAACAAATTAGATGTGGAGAGGGGATGGTTCAGGATATTGAGATGGGACCTTTTTCAGCTAAATCACCAGTGTGAATTCTGGCCCAGCTCAGTAATTACTGATAATGGTTTGGTGATCCCACGAAATGTGCCTCTGTCTGGTTACTAGCTGAGAGATACTCAAATCATATAAAAGCTCACTGGTAACCATAGACGTCCGGTGTCTAGGGGGAAAAGGATTGTTTTGCATGACCAAAGAGTGCCAGCTGCAAAGGCATCAGGAAAAGGAGCCTGGCTATTTGGGAAATGGTTTGGTGGCAACATTGTCTGGATCTTGTTGTCTTCTGTGATGGCTTCAGTTGTTGGCCTGCTGGAAAGTGAATATTAAACTGTTTTGCTGTTGTTTGGGCATAGTCCTATGGTCATTTCAAGCTACTGTGAGAAACGTGCTGCTCTCACAAGGCTGTTCTGTTTCGTGGAGTCTAGAGATTGTGAGGCTGTCCTGTGAGCTGAATCAATTCAGTGATCTGGCTGAAAATTCACCCTACTGAAAAATAAATATATTTGTTATCAGAAGGATTGAAGAGCTGATCTGACTTGCAGATCACCCTACTGTGTGGCTGCAGATGCTGAGTTGAGGTAGGTGCTGGGAGTGTCTGGCTGGGCAGATCTTGAGCTGTTGTTACTGTCTTGAGTGGATGGGTACTTTCAGCTTACCGAAGTGGTATCTACTGACAGCATGTAGTTCATCCACCTGCCTGCTATCTCTTGACTTCAGAGTATTAGTGTGCTGATGAAATCTCTGACATTGACATCCAGGGCCTTTCTCTCCAGGAGAGACAGATGTATACTTTTTTGGCAAAAAACTGCCTTTTAATTCTTGGCAGAATATTAACCTTAAAATAATTATTTTACTGGGGATTGTGGTTCAAAAGCCCAGATCTACTATATCTACTGGATCTTTCACTTTGGCATTTCTTAAATTCAAAGGAGTAAAGGTACATTATTTACCTTCACAAAGTTTCGCCGCTTTGTTCTGCGTGAGTAATACTGTTTCAAATACTTGCTTGTCTTTTCTTTTAACTGGTCTCAGTGTCCAGCCTCTTGACTCAAATACGGACTGTAATCCTTGAATTACACTTGTTTGTTCTGTGGTGTCTATATCTTAATATCCTTCACCTACTGTGGGATAGGAGATCCAAATGAGGTCAGTGTTCCAAAACCCCACCGCTTTGTTTTTAAGCTTTTCTTCAGAACTGCTAAGGTCCTTAAATTGTCTCTTCCTTAGAGACTTCTCTATCTGCAAGCAATTTCTTGATTTCCCATGAGAGAGTATCCCTTGACGAAGTATTTCCCATTATTCTTCTTAAAGATTAATGAAACAAAGTACTTAACTTCTCTGTAGACCCCTCAATAGATTTGTCTTCTGTCCTTCTTGGTTTAAGAAAAAAATCTGCACATCCTTGTATTCATTTTCAGAAATTTCTCTTGAATAATCTTAATGTTTCCCCTATTTTTAAATAATTTCCTTGACATAATTTGTTTTAAATGTCTACTTTCTACCTCTCCTTTTGGGTGCTAGAACTTGCTATTTTTCACCCTTGAGTTGTGCTGCTTTCTTTTCTTATATACCTTCTGATACAGTGGTCTTGCTTCTTAGCTTCTGAGATCCAGTAACAGTTGATTATTAGTTGAGGAGGACATCACTGGATCTCAGAAGCTAAGAAGCAACAGTTGATTATTAGTTGAGGAGGACATCAAGCAGAGAGAGCGCAGGATGCTGCCCATGGTCTCTGGGATTCACAAAGTGGTAGTTTTCATGGAATTGGTAGACATTCTGTTCTCCTGCATGGGAAAAAAAGGAGATTACTATGGTGATACAGGACAGAGGACACAGAAAACTGAGTTCATCAGCAAATTGTGTTTTAAGGATATCTTTAGACTTTTCATAATATGTTCTCATTACATAGTATTTATTTGCTTTGACATGAAGGTTACTAAATTCAGAGTGACTCTTTTAAGACATTGCCTACTCATGAAAATGTATTGCTGTGATTGTGTTGAGATATCTCTGTCCCAATAGTTGTATGCTAGTATAGCAACTTATATTGTTCTTTGTATTTCTGTTTTCTAAATGTCTTGACTCACAAAACTTCAGACAGGGAAAAAAAAAAACCAACACCTCAGTGTAGGCAAGGCTAAAACCTTGGGTTTTCCCACTCCCTAAATAAAAATGTCTGCCCTTCTAAATGAGTTATAAGATGATGACTGTGGTTTCCTTTCCCATTCTTCAGGCCCAGAATGAGTTTTCAGGCAGTTGCCTCCTAGTTAGTGTGTGAGACTGTTCTTTTACAGATCCCTTCCACAGAAGGGCAAACGCTCAGGGGAATGATGACATGACAGCAATCACAGGCTGCTGTAAAAGCACGCAATCTCTCTTTCTCTCTCTTTTTTTCTTTTCCTTGTCCCTCTCAACAATGACACTTGTCCTGCCAGCTGAAATCAGAAAGGGATCCTATTTGGGTTTCCTACTAGATTTGAACATGCGCTGTTTTAGGATGGATATGTCTTCATTATTTTTACTCTTACCATGAATGAGTCTGTACTGGATATTTTCAACCACAATTGACCTGCAGTGAGGTATGGATCTTGAGAGTGAGCTGACAAAGAGTAATTGGGAGAAGATACTGGGCTATCAAAAATGCGCTTTCTCTGTAGCCTGCAGCTTTTAAGATTCCCATTGCTAAAATTTTAACAGGATGGCTCTAACTGTACTTTAAGCCTGATGGATGAAGAAAATATGCCTTCTGGCATGGTGAAGGAGCCACGCAGTGATACATTTCCAGTATGCTCAGGTTTTTTTCTGCTAATGAAAATGTCATTGCTGTCTTTGGCAGACCAAGAGCAACTGCTGCTCCCAAGTCACAGTGTCAGGGTTTGGAGCTGGGAATGTCAAGGTAGATATTACACACTGGACTGTTCTAAAGAGTTTAGAAAGATTTCATAATTATACTTCACCCCCCTCCCTTTCTTTTAAGTTCTGTAATACAGCAAGTTGCTTTTCAGCAAGGAAAGAAACTGTATATAATTATCCTTCTTGTACAAGTGGATAACTGTGGAGAAAGGTAAGTGATTTGCCTAGAACCACAGGGAAGTGAATTGCTATAATAAAAAAGGTATTTCTAGCTCTCTGTCCTGTGGTCAAGCCTGAGCTGCTCCTCCTCTTCACCGAGTTGTATCACTGACTGGTTTGTATAAGCTGGTTTTATTTGCTTTGAGATGGAGAGGGGTGAGGGTCTCTTTGCACTAAGTCATGTGGGAGCCCAGACTGCATAACCACTCTGAAACTGGAGTTCTAACCTGGCATTGGCTGGTGCATTGACTCAGAAGAAGAAACCACAGTTGCACTTAGCAGGAGCTCTTTTCCATGGAGAGACTTTATAAACCAAAAAACCTCCATGTCAGTGGAACCCTGGTAATACAGTGCTTAAAATGCACTTCTTGACAAAGCAAATGCAGATTATGCTTATGTAGGGCCTCAGCTCACAGCATAGTAACTCGCATCAGATGCTGTTTTCATTAAAATGAATAATAAAAATCATGGCTTGCATTACAACAAAACACTTGAAAACACAAAATTGAACCCTTCTCACATTGAAGTTGTCCGTCCATTATTGATTCCCTTAGCTTTTTTTTTTTTAAATTAGCAGCAGTAGCAGACAGTTGTTGTCTTTTGAAAGCAGTCCACTCTTAATCTGATGGTACAACAGTACTGTAATCCCCTAGCGCTCCAGAACAGACTGATACGCTTCAGGTTAATAGCAAGCCCTGCCCCCAAAGGTAAAGTTAGGCAAGGCATCATGAGATGATGGCTTGAGAGCAGGCCACAGGGCACTTGCTTGGTGATGGTTCATTTTGAGGTTAGATTTAGATTATTTTTTGTCTGTCCATACCCAGGTGTAGCTGGCACAGCAGGGCCTGTCTTGTGCAGACAGCTGGTGGCAGGGAAGCAGTGGCAGCTGGCAGAATGGAATTGCTGCCCGCCCCCCTCCCCCCCCGCGCTTGCTTCTGATGGGAATAGGCCCCCAGTATGCTGTAGTGTTCCACTCCTCTCTTGCCTTTTGTTTCCCTAGATTAGAGCAAGAGACAAAAAGTGGAGATGTCTCTTGAAGGCTGTTTTCTCTTAGCACCAGAGCATTACTTGGAGTCAATTATTCACACCTCCATAACGTGATCTCCCTCTCTTTCTTTAGGCCTTATCTACGCTTGTGATTTGCCCCAGTTACAGCCATTAGTTCCTGTTCAGCAGAGCCACAGCGTAGGAAGGCAGAAACATAATTTTCTTCATATGGATTTATACCAATTTCTGTTAATGACGCTGTACTGGTAGCATAGGGATGTGTATCTGCTTTCACCTTCTTCTGTCACTGGCATCTTCTCCCATCTAGGCTGGGCTTTTGTGCTTCAGTCAATTGTAAAATAGCTCACCAAGGCAGTGTGGCTTAGAGAAGGGGCTTCAGCCCTGGATCCAAGAGCCTGGATTCTGATTCCTGGTTTTGCCCTAGATTTGATGTGTGACAATGAGCAAATCGTGCTTTCTCCCAAGCATCTGTTTCCTCAGCTGTAAAATGGGAGAATGCCATAAGCCGATTATATAGCCCTTTGAGGTGGGTAAGTGTGCTAGCTACTGTGTGGACAAAGGAAAAAACAGTGTTAAATAGAAGTTGGATAACCTAGTGGTTTTTAAATGTTCTGGTTAAGATATTTTCTAATCCTGTTTATTTTTCTGAGAAGCATGGGGGTGTATTAGCACAGACCAGAGAGGAGGAGCTGCTCTGGAGTGTTGCATGCCACCACCTCAGCACACAAAATAAACTGTACTACTTCATGGTGAAGCTTTTTTGGAGGGATGCAGGGAGGAAGTTAGCCTGCACTGTGGATGGAGCTGGATTTGGCTGTGACCAGCCTTGCTGGTAGCTAGTATTTTTTGCAAATGCCATCTTTTCACAGGCATTTCAGCTTAATTACTTTCAGGAGTAATTTTATGGCCATCTTGGTTCTGAGGAGAAATGCAAATGTGACTGAAGGAGTAGACTGGACAGAGATGCTTGATTTTTGCAGACACTAGCAACAGCACATTTGCCCTGAGAAGTATAAAGTGGCCAACTCGTATCTCTTGGGCACTAACGCACAGAGGTGCACCTGGCCTTATAGAGTTTTTATTTGAAACTGCAAAGCTAAGCAGCTAGGCTAGCTGCCCTCAGACAGCTACTCTGCCACTGCCTGTTTCATCTTTGTTACCCAGCTGACAAGTAACATGTACATTTTGCGAGAAGATGGTATAGAGTACGCAAGAGACAAGGAGCTTCTCTGTGATAAGGATGAATTTGCCAGCTTGGAACTGGGCTTCAGCGTTTGTTTTCAATCTCACTGTTAAACAACCGGATGCTGAGCTTTTTCTTTAATGTCCATTTAATCCTTCCTTAAGCATGATTCACATTGTCCTAATCCAAAGCTACTGCATTGCAAAGTATGAAAGCTGTGAAAGGAACTTTTCATTAATTGTTCGCTCACTTTTTCTGTATGACTTCTGTTTCCTTTGCAGAGTGTCTTTGTTTGCAGCTTGATCTCATACCCATTTCAGCCACTATTAAAATTCACATTGACTTAACTGGGTGTTGCCAGTGTTAACTGTATTTTCCACAGAAATTCGTGCTGTTGCTAGCCTGCATTCAATGTTGTTCACTCAGTAAAGGAAATTGTGTCTAATAAATAAGAAAAGATGTGTGCTTTAGGGAACATTGGCCACTGTTTTCCTACATTGCTTTCACTGCTTGATTGCATGGAGTTGGGTAACAGTTGGGATTTTTAGGGGGAAACTTAGTATAAAACTAAGATTAATAGTTTAGACTCAGAAACTTGCCTTTAAATTTTCCTGAGAAGTACCTAAGAATGTATCAGGGATGGCATTGAGAAAAACAGTATTATGTAACTCCATGACAGTCCTTGCATTTCTCAGTGTGTTTAGGCTTCTTGTCTGTAAAATAAGCATAATTGTAATCCTCTGTCTCAGAAGAGCAATGAGTATTCATGCAGTAACAAGTAGGGGTTCTTGTTTTACCAACAGTTGCTTGTAAAAAGGAAAAGTATTGAGAAGTTGATTTTGTGCTGTGCAGAGTTCCTGGAAGAATGGTGATGTACAGCATTTTAACGTGCTTTCTCCCACCATTTTTGCCCTCCTCTTTCTGTGCTAACTCTCCTCTTAAAGCTGAAAGGCTGCCGAATCTGGTCTCTTTCGGATTTGTGGGAAAATTAATTGTGTGTGACTTAAGAGGTCTGCCTACTCTTAATTGAAGGCATAGAGGACTGAAGCTTTGAAGAAAGCATAATTTTTCCCTGAATGTTTCCCAGTCATTTGAACTGAGTAGATGTTAATGAAAACCAGCATTAAAACAAACAAACAAACAACACCCCCCCCCCCCCCAAATTAAAAACCAGCTGAATAGAGCCCATTCCTGTCACATACTTACTAGGCATTATATAGTGCCCTTTTAAATAGGCAGCGCCTAGCCCCAGTGGTAGAGAAGTGTTTAAGCTATGAATTATATCGGGTAAAATTTCAGCATTCTTTTTCTAACTTTCAGATGCAAAAAGAAAACGCAGCACAGACAGCTATTCATCAGATTCGTGGTTAGACATGGATGAAGAATCTTGTGATGCCCATATCCGGGAGGAGAAGGATGACAGCTTGGATAAGAACTCCAAATCCTTGGTGGATGGCTCCTCCTCACCCAACAGCACACACTCAGAAGGGAAGGAGGGTGCAGGAAGAAAACAAAAAGCCACAGTAATGAGATACCTAAAAAGAACTTTGTCTAATGAGTCAGATGACAGCGTAAAATCAACGACCCCCACGGACTATCCCAAAACACCAACGGGGTCTCCAGCTACAGAAGTTTCAACCAAATGGACTCACCTCACAGAATTTGAACTGAAGGGTTTAAAAGCCCTGGTGGAAAAGCTTGAATCTCTCCCAGAGAACAAGAAGTGTGTTCCAGAAGGTATCGAAGATCCGCAGGCTCTCCTAGAGGACATGAAGGTGGGTGTGATAGCTGTATTCTGTGGGCATAGAAGACAGCAGGAGATCAGAAAGCAAAGTTGTGCAGCAGAGGGATGGCAGCTTGTGTGTAGTGACCAGCTCATATCAGCCTGCTACGCCACAGAGGGAAATTACGCCTCTAACAAAAGCCATCTCTGCTCTGGGGAGATGGCTGTTTGCAGTCTGATTTAATTGATGCAGTCCTTTCTGACTGTCAGAGCAGTGGCCAAAAGTTTAGATCCTCTCATAGTTCAGCACTTGTTATGTCCCATGTGTAAATATTATACCTCAAAAAGTCTGCTTATATTTATAGTCTTAATCTGCCCTTTTTGGTCTAGTGTTTTTCTGGAGTATATCTGATTAACTGACACAAAATGTAAATATTTGATTGTAATTCAGAAGATATATCGTCTAACGTTTTCAGTTGCTTTTTTTTTTTCTTTCACCTTTTTCATTTTCTTTTCCTCCATTGCCCTCTATAGGTTGATAATTATTCTCCACTGGTACAATATACTGTTTTTGGAGATGGTGTGTGGAGTGAATGCTCCCTAGTAATAAAACATCTCTCTAGACTTTTAGTATACTCGAAGTGGTACCCCATCTGACTTAGGGATAAATTCCTCCTGAAGACCAGCATGGTCTTGCTGCTTCTAGTCCCAGCCCTGAGGCATTATCCAGTGCCCTTTTAAATAGGCAGCGCCTAGCCCCAGTGGTAGAGAAGTGTTTAAGCTATGAATTATATCGGGTAAAATTTCAGCATTCTTTTTCTAACTTTCAGATGCAAAAAGAAAACGCAGCACAGACAGCTATTCATCAGATTCGTGGTTAGACATGGATGAAGAATCTTGTGATGCCCATATCCGGGAGGAGAAGGATGACAGCTTGGATAAGAACTCCAAATCCTTGGTGGATGGCTCCTCCTCACCCAACAGCACACACTCAGAAGGGAAGGAGGGTGCAGGAAGAAAACAAAAAGCCACAGTAATGAGATACCTAAAAAGAACTTTGTCTAATGAGTCAGATGACAGCGTAAAATCAACGACCCCCACGGACTATCCCAAAACACCAACGGGGTCTCCAGCTACAGAAGTTTCAACCAAATGGACTCACCTCACAGAATTTGAACTGAAGGGTTTAAAAGCCCTGGTGGAAAAGCTTGAATCTCTCCCAGAGAACAAGAAGTGTGTTCCAGAAGGTATCGAAGATCCGCAGGCTCTCCTAGAGGACATGAAGGTGGGTGTGATAGCTGTATTCTGTGGGCATAGAAGACAGCAGGAGATCAGAAAGCAAAGTTGTGCAGCAGAGGGATGGCAGCTTGTGTGTAGTGACCAGCTCATATCAGCCTGCTACGCCACAGAGGGAAATTACGCCTCTAACAAAAGCCATCTCTGCTCTGGGGAGATGGCTGTTTGCAGTCTGATTTAATTGATGCAGTCCTTTCTGACTGTCAGAGCAGTGGCCAAAAGTTTAGATCCTCTCATAGTTCAGCACTTGTTATGTCCCATGTGTAAATATTATACCTCAAAAAGTCTGCTTATATTTATAGTCTTAATCTGCCCTTTTTGGTCTAGTGTTTTTCTGGAGTATATCTGATTAACTGACACAAAATGTAAATATTTGATTGTAATTCAGAAGATATATCGTCTAACGTTTTCAGTTGCTTTTTTTTTTTCTTTCACCTTTTTCATTTTCTTTTCCTCCATTGCCCTCTATAGGTTGATAATTATTCTCCACTGGTACAATATACTGTTTTTGGAGATGGTGTGTGGAGTGAATGCTCACTAGTAATAAAACATCTCTCTAGACTTTTAGTATACTCGAAGTGGTACCCCATCTGACTTAGGGATAAATTCCTCCTGAAGACCAGCATGGTCTTGCTGCTTCTAGTCCCAGCCCTGCCTCTGATCCATGGTATCCCTTTGGACTACTTGGTTAGCTTTTCTGTGTCTTGTTTTCACATTGGATAAAATAGGCATATTAATTATTTTTTTTAAACAAAGCTGAGAGCAGTATACTCTTGTAATTTTGCTGGGACTTGTCAAATAAGGCTAAAATTGTTAGCCTGTCTTCCACAGGTCCAGTACCGTGGCAATTTGGCCTGATTTGGAACTATGAGTATTGATTTGTGGTCTTGTGTTTGGACTGCTAGTTTTGTGCTGTTTCTGTGTACAGTATGTTTTGTCAGCTATGTATGTTCTATACACAAGAGCTGCGTAAGCCACAATCTGAGGGGAAAAATACGTGTTTATATGGTAAAAGGGGAGCCTGTACTTTTTTAGTGCAAGTAGTGTAACAGCTGCTTAGAAAAGGCTTCAAAGCCAGTTAAAGAAGGCTGAACATATGCAGTGTGCGGTGGAACCATACTCCACAATCTTGGAGCCTGAAAGTGTGATACACGGCACTCATTTTGGTAAACCACAAGAGCTCAGAAAGTCTCTTCTTGCAAAATCGGCCACTTTGTGTATGAAAGTGGACGCACATGCCCAAAGTCGTGGCTGTAGATTCACTGTCTTGCTTTGTGATCAGTCGTCTTCGAATCAGAAATCAAAATGAAGCTTCAAGACCAGGAGTTGAATTTGTGGTGAAGGAGAAAGAATGGTAGCGTTACTTTTCCAAGCTTGATGCACAGACCAAGTTTCCTTAAAAATAAACTGCCCCTTCTTGAAATCCCAGAAAGGGGTACAACACGTAATAAATGGTGCAGATGTTCAGAATATGATCATGCATGCTCTTTTGATGACATACTCCAATGCACTGAGAGACATCTTACTGGAACATGGCAAGATACCATATGTGAATCTGGTTTAAAGCACCGTGTAGGAGTATATGCTTTCTTCTTCTTCAGGGCAGTGGATTCACTAGCTACAGAGATGGAGAACTGCACACGGACATTTAAGAAAAAGGCCCAAGTCATGCCCTTTTTGGTGATACTGTGCTTTAACTGGTATTAAGTGGGCATCAGCTAGTTTATTTTGTGCATCTTGCAGGGTTGTAGTCTTGATGTTCCATCTCCTTTGATAAGTGCCTGCTTCTAAACTTTCTCTCCTTGCCAGCGCACACTGTAACCATCAGGATGTAGCCCAACATCTGGATATTTATGGTTCCCTGCTGGTTAAAGAACCCATGACCACATCTAAACATCATGCATGCTGCAGAATTGTTTTCTCTGGAATCACCTCTGTATGTTTGGCGAGCCTGTGACTGATTAGTCAGAGTAAGACCTTTTAAAAGGATGTGAACTCAAACATTTTCTTGAACAGCGTCTAAAGAACTGTTAAAGAACTTTCTTACCCATCTTTTTTACAATATTGGCCCATATATAAGGCAGCCCTCAATTTTCAGAGTTGGGAGTCTCTATTGACTCAATGGGAGTCAATACAGCATAGTAGATGAATTAAACCCCATATAGTCTGCTTCTTCCGTAACTCTCCCTGCGGTTGCATAATCCACTTGCGAGGTGCTCCGAAGGAATTGGGGCAGTTAGGGGGAATTGCATTCATATCAGTGGTTGCTTGAGTATGCTTCCTCTCAAGTCAGGAGTGGAGCCTAGGACTCCCAACACAGGCCTTCCTTTTGCTCATCAGCAAATTGTCTGAGGCAGCCACTGACAAGTTGTGTCCCATTCCCATCTATTGTTGGGACCCTGGGTGCAACAACCCATTACTCCTTTCTGCTGCTGTGTTCGTTGATGTGGTAGAGAACAGTGCAGTGGAGCCAAAACATCCTGTCTCCTTGTAACCCATGTCATACCAAAGCATGAAGTTTAGTTTATTCAGTTTGTTGGCTTTAAAAAAAAAATCAGAAACAAGTGTATCAGGGCATGTTTAGGGCTTCTACCTTCAAAGGATAGAGCATGCTGCTGGAAAGGTTGCCAAGTGACTGATTTCAGCCTCTTGAGCATATATCTAGCATAAGAGTCCTTGCAGGACTCCTGTGTTGCTTGATGTGCAGAATGCAGCTGTTCAGTATTTTGTTCCGTCATTGCTCCTCAGTGTGTGTTAGGTACATCATACTGTTCAGGCCCTTGGCTGCACACAGTGATATGAATGTTCCGTTGGGGATCCCAGTGATACTCATCACTACCGTAGTCATGTGCTTCACAAAGTGGTAATTGATGAGGAGTTGTTATCTCTGGTTCACAGGTAGGGAACTAAGGTGCAAAGACATTAAGACAAAAGTGACCATAGCTTTAGATACTGGTTTTACGTGCCATGGATGTGATTATCAGAAAAGTTAGCATTATTTAAGAATGATACATGCAAAAGATAATTTTAATGGTATTGAAACTGTAATTGCTTAACATTTCTGCAGAGCAGAAGTTCTGATCTTTAGCACCCAGATCCCAAGCCAGGTGTGAGGAAGAGTAGGAACATACAATTCATGAGTGCCTGTGGAAACCTGATTTAAAAAATTTGCCCTATGTCACATAGAGGCATAATGGTAGAAGAAGAAATACAGTTCATTTTTTCCAGAATGGTATTTATCTCTTTGACCACTAAATCATATTCCCTCTTACTTTGCTACTAGTTTTCCAACTTGTACAGAAAATAATGTGGGGATTTTGCTGATAGCATTAGCAGTACAGTGAGCAGAAGCCAGGCTTCTTTGCCTTTACCTCACCCTGATGAATATCCAGAGCACCAGTCATCTGTGTGACTGAATGGAGGCAGAAATCCTGCAGAAGCAGCTGTGCAGATCATACGTGCTGTGACTGTATTCGGCTATATTCACAAGGTTTATTTCATGGGCAACCTGACTTTTGGGCATGTGATGTATTAATAATACAGCCTATAAAATGTACCCTTTTAGTGCACCCATTTGAGAGTTATTTTTAACAAATGCATAGCAAGAACATGCTCTGACAGAAAGTCTGAAAGCTCTTGCTCTGCTTGGAAAGTCTTTAACAAGTTTCTTCCTGAAGAAAATAAATCCATGTTTATTGTAGCTGTTTTATTTCTTAATGAAATACACTCAGGAACTTTTCTGTATCACATTCAAGTCTGTCTTTTTGCTTCAGTAAGATAATTAATGTTTTCGGAAAACAGGATACGGTAGTTAAAACTGGAGAAAGGAAACCATTTTATTTAGTCATGTGAAGTTTCACAGAACAAATTTGGGTAACTTGCAGAGAATCCAGGCTTTCCCATCTGAGCAAGAATACAGTAAAGGATGGGTGACTGGGTTACTGCTCTTAGTGGTAAATACAACTACAGCTATATACAGCTATTTAATGTCAAGTAGGTGAGACTCTTTGAAGTAAAGTAATTTATTTTCCTTATGAGAAGGGAGACTGAAAACTAAACTAAGCCTGTGTAAATTCCTTACACATCATCTAAGTTCCTAACTAACTGTGACTATCTAGTCGGGACACAGCAATCCAGAAGTGCCAAGCTAATGCCTCTGCAGATTGAGAACCCATTTATCACCATGATCGATGGAGTGCAGCAGCACAAGGAAGGCTTATTTGCAGAGCATAACATGGGCCTCACTTGGGGAGCGGGTCAGTTCTTCCCTCAGCTCAAACAAGGAATTAAATTCTTGTCGGCTGCAGCTCTGCTGTATGGGCACTGTATCACTGTGTTCACCACCAAAGGAGCTTCTCGGAGGCCTCCAAACAGCGATTACTGACAGCAGTGTTCACTCCGTAGCAGATGGCATCTGAACAATTGGCCAAGGAGATGCAATACTCTCTGTATCCAAATGTCTGCGGCTGGGCTCTGTGAGCTGTATGTGCAGCAAATGTGAGGGGAAATTGTTGTACAGATAAACATACCCTCCCTGAGAGTGCTCAGCTGACCCAAGTTGCAGAAGGACAGAAGGCTTGGCAGTGTAGCTGTTGGCAGGGTGAGCAGCCAGAAGACACTGCAGCCGTTGCCTCCACATCCTTGCTGTTGGTGTTACTGTTGGAGGCACACGCAGCCTGTAGTCATACCTTGTTTTCCATATATACATGCCCTCAGATGAAATGTGAAACAGTGCAACAACTTCGGCTCCCAATTTAAAAATTAAGTAGCAGCTGAACTGTTAGAAAAGTACCTACACTGATGAGGAAGAGAAGGAGGAAAAAAATCACTGAGAAGTAATTTTACTTAGATGGTGGCCTTGGGGATTGGAAGAGTTTCATCGTGTGGTTTCTTAGCTTCATATTTAGCTACCAAATAGTACATCAGTCTACTAAAGATCCAATTGGGGTGGACTCATGCATGAAGAAGAGAATAGAGAGGTAACCATCTTACTCCTTGGTGTAGTGTGCATCCCACATCACAGGACCGGTAAAGCTGAGCAGACCTTTGATTGTGACAGTCTGCATCCCACATTAAACACTCTGCCAGTGATACTTGTCTGTATGCAGCCTCTGATTTCAGCACACAACACTTCTGTTGTGTTACCAGCAGGATGGTAATTCCTTTGCTGCTGTTGGGGAAGAGGATTGTGAGATCTGCCTCGTAGTAATGCCACAGATCTTCCCCACTTCAAAGCAAAAATGCTGCCCTTCTTCAGAAGGGACTGTGGAAGTCCATTAGGGTAGAAGAAACTCAGTTTGAAGAAAAGAGTTTGTCAAATATCCACAACTCCTTGGCAGCAGGAGAAGATTCTTGTGCAAGACAGATGATATCTACTGAAATATGTTCTTACTTTTTCTTGCCAAGAAATCTTACCCCCTTCTCGTTCTGATGACAGGAAAAAAACTCCCTCTACTGAACGCATTTCAGGGGAGTCATTCCTTGCTGTGCTTTTGAAATTAATGGCTAAGCTGAATTCTTACATACTTAATCAGTTTCGTTCCTTCATACCTGCTGTTGTCACCACAGCCTTCAAGTGTAATGAATCAGGCAGCCTTGTGCTGGATGAGCATCACGTTGTTTGTCTAAATGGAGCCCCATGGCTTTTCTTTATCTTCTTTTTTTTTTTTTTTTTTTTTTTTTTTTAACCAGGTGAACAAAAGTCTGCCTCCTCCAGCCTGTTGTGTGCTGACATTTGACACTAGTCAGCCCAAATGTGGCTTGGTTATGGTTCTGCTGCTCAGACATCCATTGTTTTCAGCTGGCTGAGATGATAAACTGCCACAGTTTTACATTTCTTCTTGGGTAATATTTTCACGTGATACATATGATAACAAGAAACCTTCATTATCCTGCCAAGTTCTTGGAATATACTCTGCTTTCTATTGAACTCGGAGTCTCTGACAGTCATTAGTGGAAATGTTAAGGTTTTCTGTCTTACAAGCTTTCAAATCTAAGAGTAGCAAAGTAAAGAGGGATTAATTTGTCCTTTGTTTATATGGCTCTCAAGCTGCCGCCTTGTTCTGGAGAATTTTGGCTTTGCTATGAGAATACAAAAGACTTCTCCATTTTTAGGATTGAAAACTAACTTTCAGAATGTGGTCACAGTTCAGTTAATGCAGTGATCGCGCTCTCAAAATAAAAAGGACATGAGAAAAGAGGTGTTCACTAAACCTCAGCTCAGCCAAGAGTTAATTTGCCAATGACTAGTCTGTATGTACAAGTTGTTAGCTGTTTCACTCTATTCAGCTGAAGGTACGCTACAGGCTCCACATCAGAGTCAGGCTGGGGCAAGCTGGGTTTTACTCCCTAACCAGCCAGGCTGTGCCTGTGCCTGTGCAAGCTCCTGAGTGCAGCCATAGTGCCGGGCTGATGAAACTCGGCTTGTACTGCTGTTGCTTATTTTGGTCATTGGCGCTGCTTTTGGACTAACCAGTATCAAGAACAACCTTACTGGTGTGATCGTATCTGAAGAAGCAGCACTGTGCTGGTGCTGTGGTGTCTATTAGTAAAGCATCTCTCATTTAAGCACAGACTGGGGAATTGAGCTGCATCCGGCAGGTTGCCTGAGCTCCAGGGAGAGAAAGCCAGCCCCAGGGACACTCGTGCAAACCCTAGTTTAGATGCTAGTCTGCCTGCTTGGGCCCTTGGGGCCTGGAACATGGCATCGTACTCCCAGCTTTAGTTGGATGATTACAGATGAATTCCAAGTGCGCTTCTTATTAAAACAATTACTGTATTTTAAGCTCTTTTTGTAGAGTGTGTGAAATTTCTAATTATTAAAGCTCTACACTGGGGACTGAGAGAGCCTGGTGCCTATTGTTGTCTAATTAAGCTTTTTTCAAGAAGTCGGTATACTTGGGAGCAACACCGTTGAACTTCATTGTCTGGGGTTATCTCCTAAATTCTATTATGAGGTAATTTCCAACCTGCAGTTCTTGTTTGTTTTATTGGAGCATTTTTTTCCCCTTAACCTGTTAGTGCTTATTTGGGCTTCAGTTTTCAGCAGCACAGCAGAATCTTCCTTTGGACTTGTTTTTTGTTTTCATTTATTGTCTTTTTCAGCTACCTGAACTCCAAATTAAGAGCTTTGTAGCTGGGTTAGTATGTGCGTAGAGAGTCAAGGGAAGCGAGCATGGGCTATTCCCAACTGCACGATTGAGTACGCTTAGAAAGAGTTCATCCCCACCTCTGTGTTGAGTTACACGGTCATGGGAGTGATTCACAGCGGTAGAAGCTGTGTAAGCCAGTGCAACCCACTCATGAGATTTCTAGGACAGTGCATCAAAGCAAAAGGATTTGGTAGGAGTGGAAGGGAGGGGAGACCAATCTTTTTCCTTAATACCATACTATCCAGAGTCAGATCCTTTCCTAGTGAATACTCAGGAACCTGAATGCCTTACCTGATCACATAACGTGAACTAGATTACAGCAGCTCTGGCCTGCCCATCAGTGTGGAAGGAAGGCCAGTGGAAATGATGGTGCTCTTGAATTGCCATGTGCATAAAGATGAAAAGTTACAATGCACACTTCCTTATCTTGACTTACCTGAATGTTCAGGCATCTGAGGATTGCTCTAAACTGCACGCTTGATGCCCTGTGACTGCAGAAATAATGGTGGCAGAGCCTAGGGGCTTCTAGGGTCCTTTGTAGACTTGATTAGGAGAGAAGGTGTTGGTTGTGGTGACTGGTGGGGGTCGTTTGGGATTTAGTGAGCTGGAGTTTAAAAGGAGAGGCGATACCGGTATTAGACTGATAGCAGTGGAAAAACACCAGTCTTTTTGGACACACCAATTTTAAAGAAGTCTGTAATATTTGAGGTGATTCATGGCTGATTTTTGCTGTTTTGCACGAAACTTCACATCTTGGATCTTAATGATAGGTGTGAGAGTTTCAGTGTGAATTGGAAATTTGGAAGCAAAAGTAACTTGCAGAGATGTAACAAGTCAGCAGAGATCTTGTCACTCTGTCTTTCATCAGAGTGGAGTATTGTCTTCCGTTAAGTCTCTGCACTGTTACGTTGGAGAAATATTTCTCTGGTTAATAAAGGCCTTTTCATTTGCAACAGAACATACTGAAGGAACATGCTGATGATGACCAAAATCTTGCCATTTCGGGTGTCCCTGTGGTCAGCTGGCCCAAGAAGACCACAAAGGTAATGAGACACAATTACTTATTAATCATTGTTGTGCTAGGTCTTCGTGTTTATTTATCTATAATCTGACAAAGTGCTGTATATTATACTTCGGCAGCTGCTAGCATTTTTAACATGAAATGTTATTTTTAATGGTTTTACGATTAGGTGTTGAAGCAGAACATAAAAGTGCCTCAGCAGGGAGAAATTGTTAGTTTCCATTTAAAAAGAATTTGTTTGGGCCTTACTTATCAGTATAAAACTTTGACATGTCTTGGTCATTTACTAGTCATGGTTAAATTTTAAAATGTTGATGCAACATTTTGTGTAAAATTAAATAATGTGTAAATCCTACAAACTGGTCACTTGCTCTCATCTGGATGACAGGATGCTTTTTCTCTTATACTATGAGACGTCTTGAATTCTCTGTACGAGTGTGTCACTGTAACTTTGGAGGGTTGTTTTCTATCCCTGTATCTTCATTTTTTTCCTCCTATATATGGGAGTAATTCTCTTTACTTTGCAGGAGAACCGTGAGGCTTGCTTCATTAATGCTTCTAAAAAAATTTGAAATAATTAACTAAAGAATAATGTCAAAAGGCTGGATGTTATTTATAACAGTGGTATGTTTACCACACTCCAGTTATTCAGCATGCTGTAAAAGCAGCTTTGCTTATTTAGAAGATGTCTCATTGCTTCTATTTTTACTTTCATTTTTCACTGAATTAGTTTTATAATACATAATTTCTTTAGAAATGCTGAAAGGGTCGGTCAGCTTAAATCAGGCTTCTATGTGAAAATCTGTTGTTGTTGTTATCATTGTAAATAACTTTCAAATAATTAACTGAGTGAATTATTTTCCCTGTTCTCACTTTTTGTGCTGGTGCAGCTGTCATGGCTTTGCATATAATTGCTTGTAGCCATGAGAATTTGCTGTTTTCAAATGGGAAGTAGGAGACCAGAAGCATCAAACTGCCAGAGGAGAGTGGGGCAGAATGAGCATATTATGTTCCTTCTTGGTTTCTTTTTGGGTTTTAGCTGAGCACATTTCAGATAAGTTATATCTTGTTAAATACATATTGCCCTTTTAGATTGTAATAAATCCATGGGAATATGCTTTGTGCTTAAAACATTTATTTGTTTAAAAACAGTGGAAAACCTTGAGAGGAATAGGTGTCAGATTCTCCACTGCTTTGAGAGTGGCTGTTCATTCATCAGTCAGGTGTATTCTAGGTATCGAATAAAGCAAAATCTCTGTGACCAGAGGGAAACTGGTGTGTGAAAACATATAAAACAAAACTAAGAAACAACTGACTCTCGTGCTGTATCTTTTGAGCTTGCGGTAGAAGTGAGGATCTTAATGTTTTGAAGCTTGTAGAAGCTTTGGCATTTGTTAATGTTCTTGTTCGTTTTATTTTGGAATCCTTGATAAATGGTTCATTTCTTATATTTTATTTCTGTATATCGGCAATGTAACTGTAAAAGATTTGTATTTTTTGTGACTTAAATCTTATCCCCCTTTGCAAAATCCATCTTGCTGGCTGCAAGGTTTTGGGGTTTTTTAAACTTTCTGGTGCTTATTTTCCTTTAGCCTTTCTGAAAGCAAAAAATTTTAGAAGGCATCGTTCCCAGTGCTGAGGTACAATAAAAAACAATTAAACACATCGGCTAATAACAAATACAAGGAAAACTTTCACAGGAAGTCAGGCTTTAGATTGAAGTTTGGAAATAAACAAAAATTTATAACAGAAGAAATCCTTTCACCATTCTCTTCATATTTACTTTGCTTAATCTGTGATCAGTTTGTATTATGTCTTAGTGAAAAGGTACACATGCAGATATGGCTGAATGTTTCCCAAAAGGGGTTTGTTGTGCTTCTAATTGGCAAATGTCCATGTCATCTTACATGTTACAGCTATTTCCCTTGTCTGGGAACAGAGGCCAAGTGAACAGGCTAGGAAGACACGTCTTAGAGTTGAGCCTTTGAGTCCCAAATTAAAATATGTTGGAAAGACAATATAGGGGAGATTTGTATAAAGGCAGTGTTAGTAGTTAAGCTCGGTTATTTCTCCTTTGTTCCCTGTAAGTCCTGATAATGAAATAGAAGATTTTACAGAGAAGAAAACCCTTAGGGAGGGGGGAAACTCCCTTTAAAATTGGATTGTAGCTGGTGGAGCAAGTCTCCACGGCCAGAAGATTCCACGAATGTTGAGCACAAGGCAGGAGAGTAAAACCTAACAGTAATTTTGCTTTCTGTAGTATTGCTCTTGTAGTATTTAGGAGAAATGCGAAATATTTAATAGTGCCTTTCCTGAGATACTTGTGTTCAAAGGGAGAGGCAGATATGATACCAGCCCCACAATAGCTGGTACCATGCTGTAAGAAGACATTGTAGCTGGTATGTCAGCTGTCAGGGACAGGAAGATTGTCTGATTCCAAGTCCTTAAAGAAAAAGAAGTGAACTGGAATCCAGAAAGAGGAGGCAATAAATGGAAAATGTGGCTCTTGCTTTCTCCCAAGAGAAGGCTCTAGAAGAGATTTAGAAAGACAAGAGCAGCAGATGGAGAAGGAAGAATAAAGCCAACATTAAATGCCAAAACATTTCAAAGAAAATGGAAATTACTGTAAAGAAAGGAGGGGAAGAGACTAGAAATGGCAAGAGAGCAGGATGAGGAGGGAGGCAAGTACTGAAATGGGATGGAGCGGGGAAAATGTAGAGCGGAGGGAGAGAACTCTTACTAAAGTAAAAGATCCCTGGACAGGGAATGACTTAAACTGTGTGAATAACCCAAGCTGTGGAGCGGCAGGCTTAGTTATGTTGACTTGCTTTTGAAAGAACATGTCTTTAATAATCTGAATGATTTTCGAAGCAGCAAATAATATTTCCCTTTAAAATTGAGTCACAGTTTCTTTTATGTGTTAATGTGACGTGCCAACAGTATGCACAGTTCTGTACCGCAAAGCGGTTGCTTGAAGACTGTGAAATTCTGGGGTTTAAGGAAGAAACATGTTCACTCACCTTAAATCAGAGTTCACAGTGAATTGAGGTGTCATGGGCAAGACATTTGACTAAGTGCACGGAAGACCCATCCATATGTTGTGGTCTCATTGTGCTGCATCACTCCTGTCTGCCTTTTCTAAAGGCATTTGGGGCTGTCAGTTTTACTGCAGCTCACTCTCAAAAAAAATTACTCACTGAGAAAAGAAACAGAAGTAATGATCAAAAATGTTTTTGTGAGGAGACAAAATAAATAGGTGACATTTGATGATCTTGTGGTTAGCGTACAAAATGGGAGGCAAGGGTCTGTGTTCTGTTCCCAGCTCTGCTGCAGCCTCCTTGTGTTGCATGAGGTAAATGGCACTTTTCTGCTTCCTGAGCTTTTCCATATTAATGGAGATGGTCCTTGCCGTCCTGGGAGGTTGTGAGGTGAAATTAATGTTTATAAAGATCTGTGACATCTTCAGCAGAAAGTTTCGTAGTAAAATGTATGAACCATTATTATTTTATGGTAATAGAGAAATGGTGTGTGATTCATAGGCACCTCTTCCAGATCATATTTACTCATCTTTATGGAGCTTTTTTGAGTCTTTTGTACTTTATATAATTTATTGATAATTACTTAGCACAATAATTACACTCCAGTAGGCACTTTTTTTTTTTGCAAATGCTCTTTCAGAAGAAGCAAGAACCTACCTTTTTCTTTTCGCTATAGAGTAAGAGAAAACAGTCCATTTTCAAAAGAAGTCCCTGTCTGATAATGATTCATTTACCAAAATGTTTGACTTTGCCAGGGATCCTAGGATATGTACAACGATCCTAATTTAGGCCCCTTCAAGGAATCAGGAATGTGGGACCAAGTGGATATTTGAAACCTACATGTCCTGATAGCTGACTGACAGTTTACGTACCTTCAGACTAGACAGCATATTTTTCCCAGCTGGCTGCCGAGCACAGATGCAGCTGTGAATATGTAAACCCCATCCCCGTTCCTTTGCTGGGGGTTTGTGCAACAGTAAGTTGTCCTCGCTTGGTGCGGTGCTGAGTGTTATCTGTGGAGTTTTTCTGCAATGGTAGTCTGCTGTCCGAAAGGAAGATCTCCATAGGGCATGCTGCCTTGAAATTTTGGGTTCTTAAGTGACTAAAGAGGAGTGAGAAATAATCCTAACAAACTAACTCCTTCCCCATCCCTGGGACATCAACTTCTGGCTGGTGTGGAAAGAGCAGGGCCTAAACCTGATTTTCCACTGTGGCGACACGTTGCTAATCACTGGTGCAGAAAGCTGACTACCGTCAAACAAAATCTTGAAGCCCACTCTCAAGATTTGCTCAGCCCTGCAATACCAGAGTTGCCATTTTATCTGCACAGGGATCAGGTGTAGCATTTTATTTAAGGAACTCGGAGTATGGCCCAAGCAGAAACCATGCATTTTTCAAACCATTTCCTATTTCTGGAAGGCAACAGTCAACTATAGTAGCATGTAATTACACTCTATGGCAGTGCCTTCTGTTTTTATTGTGATAAAGATCTTTAGTTGTCTATGAAGAGCAGCTATAAAGAACTAAAATATGTTTGGACTCTCTTGTTCTGTGAAGAGTTAGAAATGCAGACTGTGAGTCAGATTCTCATCTCTCTTACCTGGCACAAGCCTAAAGCCACTGCATTTGTAATGATAGCAAGTGTCCAAATATATATAGGTCTGGCTGTGAGCAGGAGATGAAGCTGTAATTTTCAGTAGCTGGTTAACAATGCTGCAATATGTGGCTGTTTATCTGATGCCCGTTCATACGCTTTACCTGTTCATTTTAAGAGAAGATACTTGAGAAGTATAAGGAAATGGTAATATTCTTATTTAAATGAGTACTATTAATTAGTAAGGCCACAAACTGAAATTTTAATTGGATTATGTTTTTTTTAAAAAACAGCCTTCCCTGCAATTGGCAATGCAAATAATGTTCATAGCTATGTATCAGTGCATGAGAACCAGGAAGAAAAAGTGATCGTTAAAAAAAAAAAAAAACC